TGTGGGCAAGAGCGGTTTCGTGTACTTCATCAGCATGTTCGATACGGAAGTGCAGGTGAACCGTACGGCCAAGTGAAGCTCTCCCATCTTCTTCAGACCGGAAGCTTCTAGTACGAGTAGAGGGTATGTGTGCGTGTAGACATGGCCGGTCTGCAGGGTTGAGAGCCTAATACGGACTTTTCCGATCGTCTTGTCTCTGCTGTTGTTTCCGTTCGAGGTTCCGATGTTAGCGTTGTCGAAGACACCTATGGTTAAGACAGTGGCCGGGTCGTAGACTTCCCATGTGTACTGCTCGTTGTACTTTGGACTCAGACTGTTGACCACTGTCCTAGTCCGTACCCACTTGTTCAAGTACTTTGCAACTACGTACGTGTCTGACGTACCTGTAAGAATTTGGTCACCCAATAGATAAATTAGATAAAATACACCAAATCAAAACATAAGAAATGGTTGTCGGGTCTCCCACGCGGATCGAATACCCGGATGTTCAGAGTATCCTGTTTCGATCTCGCATGATTTTTAAGGTATTGTCTCAGTTTCGCGAGACTCGGATATCCGCGACCTCGATACCGCAACACCGAGAACGAGAACAAGGGTATCCGAACCCATGAGATTTATGAAATTAGGTTGTTTTAAATATGAAAATAGATCTAGATATTTTTGTAAATACGTGAAAAATTATAGAAATTTTAATCATTTTCTAAATATTCGGTCCCATTATTTCTCGAATCGGATACCATATCCGAAAATCAGTGGATCTCAGACTAAAAATGTCCACCCTAGTTGGGGTTATACCTCTCCCGTCTCGTGTTTTCATGGCATGGAGCCCATTTGCGCTCAGGATCCCCAGCTCCAAGACTCCAATGGCGGATTTCCAGAGCGGCCGAGCAGTAGGTCTGAGATCGCTGCTGTAATAAGTCGACTCGTCAAGAACGTGGTAACCGCCGTCAAGAACAGCAGCCAGATGAAGCCTGGTCGCAAACTTCACCTTTCTGGCCTTGTCTTCGTCCATGGCGTCACTGAGCGAATCCTCCAGATGAAGCCAACGACCTCTCATCTGTCTGTCATCCGTCCGTCTCTCGACGTCTTTCAGCGGCAGCACAGCATTCCCGAGCGACTCGTCTTTGTTGGGTGAAACATGATCTTCTACCGATACGACCAAATGGTCCTCGAACGGCTCTGCCACTACGAACAAGAACTCTTCGTTCCATTTCGGGTTAAGGGTTCTCGACTGAGAGATCTTCGTCTTGAACATCTTATTACCGGTTTGGATTTTCACAAACACTTCAGGGACTCGACCCTTTTCAGAAACAACAAGATCCTGAGCCTCGAGGACTCTGACACGGAGGTACCAAAGTCTCGGTGAATGATAAACTTTCGAACGAACATTCGTGGAGAGAATGCTCGAGCTGTCCGAAGAATTAAAGGTGTCTGAAAAAACTGCTTCCGCAAAGGCTTCGTCAGCCTGAGTCCCGAACCATACCGCAAGCATTATCTCGGATTTCTTCTTCTTCTCACCTTTCTTATCTTCTAATCTGTACCATTCAGGAGCCAGCGGACTATCAGGAGGAACACGATCGGGGACCTCACGGAAATCGAACCGGACAATTCCGACGAAATCATCGAGGAGAATGTCTTTATCCTTCACCACAACTTCAAGAGTGTTCGACTGGAGATGTTCTTTGGCAAAGGCAAAGACTTGGTTCCATTCTGGGTTGTTCCGCTTCTCAAAGTGTTTGGTCACTCCCCTGAAGTTTCCGACTTTAACCACGACATACGGATCAAGACCTCCTGTAACATCCATGGCAGGAAGTTCACGTGCCTTCACAACTCTCACGTAGAGAAACTTCATCTCTTCAACGAGGTCGTAAATGCCACTCGCTGGCCTCTCTGAGCCACGTACCACTCTTCCTCCGATGATCCATCCGCCCCCGAGAGAAGGGCTCGTCTCTTTCACAGAGAAATCAGACGGACCCCCCGGACTGTTCATCTGAACCACTTTGGGAGGCAGTGGTGCAGATCTCATCTCGTGCATGCCGAATTTCACGGGTTGTTGCTTGTCTGAAGGTTTGATGTTATGGAACGTCACCTGTTGCTGTTTCTGGGTAGGGCTAAGTTTACGAAAAGTACGTGTTTTTTCCTTCACATCAGCTGTAACATCTGGTTTTATGGTTTCTGAAGATGGAGTCGAGCCAAAAACCCGGAAAGCACGTGTTTTTTCCTTCACAACAACTGTAGCCTCTGGCTTTATGGTTTCTGAAGGCGGGATCGAGCCAAAACTTCGAAAAGTTTCTGACTTTGGAGAAGGGTTGTCTGTGATGAAGACTTTCAGCCCGAGCTCTCCCCGGGCTCGGGAGAAGACACTGCGTTTCTCGAGAGGATAATACAACAGAGAAGCTTCAGAACGAGTGACAAAAGATGTTCCAGAGACACGAACCTTTCCGAGAAACGACTTAGCATTGTCGGATTGGCTGTGGTGGCCATAGACGTGAGCTTCGAGCGTGAGGTTTGAAAGGACGGTGGGATCAGAGACGGCGAAGAAGAAAGACTCGTTCCAGAAAGGGTTGAGATCACTATGTTTGGTGGTGGTGTGGAAGCTCTGGTTGTCGAACTTGAGCACCACAAAAGGGTTGCATGAGTTTGGCCTGTCCCTTGGAAACAGGTCGTGTGCGCTTATGACCTCCACGCATAGCTTGAGATTACTCATTCGGAAGATGGGACTGTGATAAACCTGCAGAAGAAGGATTCTGAAACTTATTAAACACAGTCTCGAACATGGTTTGTTGGTGCAGAAATTTGGAAACTGGTATAAGCAGAATCTTGCGCGCCAAGATTGTGGTTTTCTCGGGAAACAGAAAGGAAAAACTCAGAAGACCCGTATGGAAATCCTTCGATTCCAGGGCCGGAACAGGGGAAGATGAAATTAGGAACAACTCAGGTGAAGCTTACTCTCTTACCAAGCTACAAGTCTTCTGGTCACCCTGTCAGAAAATTGAAGAAGAAGAAGACATACCCTTTTCTACTTTCGTCGTCCTTCAGAGATTAAGCAGAGGACAAGAACCAAAGCCAGTGACTTTGCCCTATAGAATACCAAATCTCACGTCAACAGTCGGAGTTTCTTAGAAACTACGGAAAAGAAGAAGGAAGAAGAAAACCCAAATATTGGTTATGTATTTGTTTCCTCCTTTTCAAGGTAATTTCGTCACATCTCTCTTCTCTCCACTGCATATGCCGTATTTTATTCTTGCAGGGAACGACACCGCCGTTAGATCTTGACACGTGTCGAATTCTCGGAGCGTCAATAGCCATTGGAGCCCACAAGCCATGGCGCGTAACCAAGGGGTTGACCCCCACGACCAACTGAGATGTTTTGATTTTTCCACTCGTTTCGCAATACTACAACATGCATATTTAATTCCCAACACTAATCAAAACATCCAACTACATGTTCTAAAAATCTGCCTTTTTTTTTAAAGTAGGTACGTGTTTTTCTCTATTATTTATATTATTCATTGACGTCATGATTTGATACTTGAACCAATTTGAATAAAACTAAATCCAAAATATGTTATATAGTTCTAATTGGTTTTTAATTCTGAACTATCATAAATCTTACAGGACTATCTAAATCCCTCCTTTGTATTAAAAAAAATAAAAATTGCGGAACACGTAACAAAGCACCAGTAAAATCAAGATGAGTTCCTGCCATTTTATACGTAGTCATACAAAATGGAAGACGTCTAAATCGAAACGACTATGAACCTTATAATAAAAGAGGATCATCACATATCGCCTTCGGTATACACATAAATGATTATCTATAGTCTATAGTCAATGTGGTTTGCTTTTCTATATAGCATATATGCATGAAGACATTATGCGTGTTAAATAAGAAGTCATGGCAAATATATTATAATAAACACATACAAATGTATCAAACAAAGAAGAAGATAAGGTATACAGGGTGGCCACTTGTGAGATATTTTCAAAGGTTACGAAAGGATTATCTCACAATCCTACAAAACTTGGGCCCATGGCCCTCTTCATCTGACAAAAACATTGGGCCTTGCATTTTCATAATATACTTCATTTAGCCCACCATGTCATCCTACTTATACCCACATCCACATACATTCACGTATGATATGTTCTCCTATACAAATATATGTGTGTGTACTGTTCAAAAACTATGATATAGATCATATGTAATCATAATCACAAATACAATGGAAGCTCAATCACGCTCCGTACGTATATGGGCTACCGGACCGGCTCAAAAACCCTGCATTTTCCGCTTAAATATTAGAGAGAAGAATCTACACAAGACATATGGGCCTAACAAGAAAAAAACTAAAGTTGCAAAGTCTAGGACCAATCAAAGGAACGGAAGACTATGTCAAAATTTGACCAAACAAACAAAACATGTTCATCATCAATCCTCAACTTCACCCGAATTCAGGTCATGTGCTTCATATACATATATATATATATATAAACTTTGGAACCTTAAAATATGCCCACAACGTGAAAGCATCAAAGTTTAAGCAATAGACGTGATAGGCCTAAAGACTATCACAAATATCCACCAACCTCTCTGTTCTTCCTCGCCCTCAAAAGCCCCCCCTCTCCCCACACCCATCATTGCTCTCTTTATACCCTTCGTTGACCATTACCAATCACAAACCCACAAGTTCCGTTCTTGCATTTTCAGGGAAGAACATGGTAAGTTTGCTTTCTATTCTCATTGTATTATGTTGCATACCATAACATAATGCATGTATGACCTTGTTCTTATGATTCCACATCGACCATTTGCGTGATTGGTCAATGGCACATGATTCTAAGGGTGAATTACGTCCATGGGTTGGCGCCATTTTGGCTTTGCCTCTAGGCTCTAGTAACATGTCATTTACAATTAGAGTAAACCACAAGCAAAGGAAGGAAAAGGCTATGTAGGCATGTCAAATCATGGTGTATTATGGTCTCTCATTTGACCAGATATAAGACTGGTTGATGGCTTATAAACCTGTGGACTCCCCTAACCTTACAAATATACTAGAGTTCTACTCATGGATTTGGATGAGATTCATATCAGTTTGCTACGTGGATAAAGTGTGTGTTGGTGTGCAGGCTAACTCAGCGTCTGGGATGCATGTAAATGATGAATGCAAGCTCAAGTTCTTGGAATTGAAAGCCAAACGGAGTTATAGGTTCATCGTGTTTAAGATTGATGAGAAAGTTCAAAAAGTTGTTGTAGATAAGATTGGGAATCCAGAGGAAACTTACGACGATTTCACCAGCTCTATGCCTGAGAACGAATGTCGTTACGCTGTCTATGATTTCGATTTTACCACCAAAGACAATTGCCAGAAGAGTAAGATCTTCTTCATTGCCTGGTAAGTTAGCAAGTAACAACACAAGCTACAATTCTTCTTCTTGCCTTCCTTTTTTCCTTTTCCATCACCTTATCTCTACAATATGGCCCTTTTGGCCTTAGGTCACCTGATACATCAAAAGTGAGGAGTAAGATGCTGTACGCAAGCTCAAAAGACAGGTTCAAGAGAGAACTAGATGGAATTCAAGTTGAATTGCAAGCAACAGATCCTAGCGAGATGAGCCTCGACATCATCAAAGGACGAGCTTTCTAAAACATTTTCCTGTGTCTGAATTGAACAACTTCACCTTATTTCTTTCAGTCGATTCATGTGTTATGCTTTGCTATTACGTTTCTTTCCTGGGTTTTTTCCCTTGTACTTTTCGGCTCTCTGAATTTCGTGTGGATTCACAGTCTCATTGATTTTTGGAACGTAATAATCATAATTAACTATTCTGCTTTTCTTCATGAAACACTGAAAATGACTGCCAGTTCCTATGATTGGAACAGCAGAAAGTGAGCAACTTGTACTTGTAAAGGACAATGAAATGGTAGCGTTTCATGCTTAAAAGAAATTCCAACAATGTGTGGAAATGTAGAAAAGCTCACCTCATGACTATTTAATTGAGAATTCTTCATAGTTCAATGGTTTTGTTAGCCAAGTATTGAAAGGGGACCTTCCTTTAAAGGTTTTTGACATCAGCGTATATTCCATAGCTTTGTCCTGCATAGAACAGGACCCCAAAATATAAATTCACCTCAGAATGATAGAGACCGCAACTGTCTGGCTCATCCTGTGGGAAAAGAATTTAGAAAACTTACAGCAAGAATAACTCTTGTGTCGTAATTTAATTAGCATAGCATGTAAAAACATGTCGGCAAACCGATGGAACAAAATTAGTATCCGTACTTGGAAACAAAGTAATGCTCATTCATTACCTTCAATTCTCGGTAAGAGGAATTTTTCTCTGAAGATCCGCTTTCATGTCTTTGAGTTATTTTCAAGAACATCTGCAGTAATCGCTGCCTGAGGTGAAAGCTAAGTTGGTCTTGATGATTTGGTATTGATTATAACCGAAAACAAGCACGATTGTATGGACGTCCGTCAACTTACTTGCACAAAGACGATTGAGTAGATGGGTAGAGCGCTCCTTTGGCTGAGGTCCCTTGTTTTCTACCAGTTGTTCCGAGGATAACTTCATGCAACCCATAGCGATTCCAACATAAGGAATACCTAAGAGACCAAACATAGATTCATCACCTTCTACTAAGAAACATGACAGAAGTGATATACATCATCTGATAAAGAGGGAAGAGATTGGTGAAAATACCCGCATGTTAGGGTAGTCTGAGCAGATTCTGAATGCTGAAATTCTAATGGTGGTACTGGGGCTCCAAAAAATAGAGGCTGCAAAGAAAACAGAATAATATATATGCTAGTAACTACGATTTCCAGTAATAACTGGTATAATGCAGCTAACAGACCTCGTTCAAACGAAAGGAACTCCGTAGCTCAGTTGATAATGGTAAGATCCTATCATACAAAGACCTTCTCAGGTGATATGCCAGAGGAAAATTATCAGGACAATGCAGAGATTGTCCAACAGTGATGGTAGAAATATACACAGGCTGAAGGATGTGAGAAAGCAATGCCCCTGCAATAAGATGAGGAGAAAAAGAAACAGGAAAAACTAATAAGCACGATATGCAAAATCTAGACTGATTAGAGATCAGCTACCCAATTCAGGTACAGACCCAGATAAAAAAGAATGTTAACCACAAATTTCACATGGCATGGACATATATTTTTGGCAGGAGGGAAAGATGAAACAAGGGCTTGTCCAAAACACTAACAGACTATGCAACAAAACAAACCTTGAACTCCGACGACATTCCAACGAGCTATCTTGTCCGAGCAGCTAACCGAAAGTGTCGTTTCACCACGACCAGGCTTCCTCTGAACCTTATCCATCGCTGGAGAGTCATTGTCTAAAAAGGAAGACATTTGCAGCTTTTAAGAACAGTAGTATCATCAGCCTGCCCGGATGGCAATCATCCAAATGTTAAACCACAACTTAGAACTATGAACAATACTTCAATACCTCCATTATTGATTTTTAGCCCTGGAATATCTGAAAGCTTCAGAAAGGACCTATCCAGTTCTTTCTCTTGCACTGGGGCATCAACTTCTGTTGTTGATGGACTCTTTTTCATGTCATACAGTGGCGAGCTCGTAGAAGCATAACCACCTATATGTGAGGAAGGAAAACCACATGAAGATGCCAACTTTGGATTATACAAGCTTTCAGAATCAAAAATCCAAGAACTCATGAACCCAGAAAGAATATCATCACGTACAAAAGGTGTCTTACTAAACTTAATATAATTACATGGCAATTGCGATATGTACATATGCAAGTGGCACCCAGCTTTCAGCTTGTATTTCCTTTGTCCAGGACAATCTAGTTCCAACTCTAAAATCGAACTGTGGCCATTGTCATTTCTCGCACGCTTTGCTTCGTTACAACGTCTGATCGTATCTAACATCTCATTCATTCGCTCAATCTCCGTGTAGAAGAATCTACCATTAAGAAAGGTGGGAAAATCAAAACCATCATTTCAGAGAGAAAGCATAACTCTTCAAAGCATTTGGGTTATGCAGATAGATTTCTTCGTCAGAGAGTCAAAGTCAGGAAGCAAAGATATCGAAATTCCAAAGTATTACTGCTACTACTACAACAGACCTCATCAAAGCTCTTCTGGCAGTAACTTCGGCATGAGAATCGTTCACAATGTCCCCACGGGAACTCAAGAGCGACCTGCTAACGCATTTCGTCCCTGTCCCCAACGCGACGACGTCCAGTTCTGCACAAAAACCCTAAATTCTCAAAATCGGAGAAACTTGGGAACTCAGAGAACACAAACGCCTCGATCGCTAGCCATATTCCCACGATGAACCACGCAGAGAGACTCAATTTGGAGAAACGATATCACCAAATGGCAGAGAGAGGGAAACCTTGGGAAGGAGAAGAGAGAAGGAAGGCGGACAAGACGGTGACTTCACGTCCCTGAGGTTTACCCTTCTTGGGGAGAGAATGATAGGCCGAGACAACCTTCTCTGCAACTCTGTCTCCCCATTCTCTGCAGAATCCGCCATAGCGAGGAGCTTCCATTATCGCGAAAAAACCGGTTCCCGTGGGGAGCAGGGTTACTATGAGTCTATGAGCGCGACAGTAAAAGGGAGCGTTTGGCTGGCGCTATAAATTATAATATAATATAAAACAAAACTGTTTGTTTCTTTATAATAAAAACAAAAATATTTCAAATTTTATATCTTTCTAGATTAAAAGTTTAGTAGATTTTATGAATTATGGATAGAATGCTTTAGCATATATACCAATTTCACCAAGATCCTTTTCTTTTTTCTGGTATTCGGATGCTCTCTTCCTTTTCAATTTAGTAACGATGGATGATGCATTATCATTGCAAATCAACACGTGTCAGAACGTTTATACAAATAACATAACATAAACCTAACTTGTCAAAAAAAGTAAAACTCCATCCTTAATATAAGATGTTCGACTTTGGGAGAAGCCCCCAGGCCCCAGCCACTGTTTAGTGACAAAGCCGCCTATTACGTGTGATCATGTGAATTTATTGTCTTTGATGCCTTGTCATTCGTCCGTCCGTCCTTTGGAACTGTGAGGCGTTGCGGGATTCGACCCAAAGGATCGAGGGAGGGTTCAAACGTTAACCAAAGAAAAAGATGTTCGACTTTGATGGAATGCGATGCGAGGATGGATGAAAGCTCACTCTATCAAGTGGACGTTTCCATGGCAAACATATCATCATCATCATCATCACCACAGATATCTCAAAAAACAAATACCTGTTGTACCCTTCCCACGTCGATCAAATATAAAAGATTTTCGACGAATTTTTAAAAATGTCAAAGTTTTATACGTTAATTACTACGGTTTAATTAGTAATGAAAAAAAATACACTACTACTACTACTACTAATCTCAGAGGAGGAGGGGAAGTTGGAGTTCATCAAGGCATGGGAGGAACACAAGATCACAAAGTCCATTCACAGGTAAAATCATATTATATCACTATAAAAACCCTTTCTCCTTCTCCCCATGTATATGCATGCATGCATACAGGGCTCAGAAGAAGATATCAACCATCACTGAATGGGAGAATCACAAAACCGCAAAGTTGGAGGCCAAACTTGCCGAGATTAAGGTAGTTTTAACCATCATCACCTCGCGGCTTCTTCTTTTAATGTTGTCTGTCTCTCACACTGACCATGAGATCCGTCAGTCATATCGCAACCACCCCCTTTTATCTCTCTCAAACACCTTTCTAAACATATATCACATGAATTCGGAACACAGTCTCCAACTCCTACGATCCTGGCTACAAAGATTACTTGACAGATATTAGATAACGCTATCTGACAATCAACATCTCCCCTACAGAATCTTGACCCAAATTGTATTCTTTCCTGTCTTATCCTAGTCATGCTAGACACTTGTTCCGCTAATAAACTAAAATCCAACACAGATCACATATGAGAGAAAAACAGAACCGGGAATCATAGCGTAAAGTTCCCCAATTTTCAGGGAGGAGGGGACAGCAAGAAAGCAGCAGAGAGACTGAGGAACAAGATAGCAGCAGTGCATACCAAGGCACAAGAGAAGAAAGCAAAGGTTCAAACCAGACGTGCTGAAGAGATTCTCAAGGCAGAAGAGAGAGCTGCAAAGCTCCGTGCCACGGGACAGAGCCCTCACCACAAGTCCTTCATCTGCTTCTGAGACGAATCAAACCTGTAAAAACGGACATATCGCATTTCTCCTCCATTCCTTTCTTCTGCACGTTGTGTTTATTTCTTGTGTTGCATTACTATGTACCCTGTCTATCTTTAACACTCTTGTGCATATTGCCACATACCAACCAATATAACAAAGCAACCAAAGCGGCATTCAAATCAGACAAACTCAGTGAACGGCAAAAGAGACAGAAAATGTCTACAGGTCTCAAAAGACTTATTATTGAAAGTTGAAAACAGGACATGAAACTGACCCATGGAAACGTTTCCACAGCTTTTCCCACAAGACACATTGCAACACTCAAACCACGAATCAGTCTATGACAAAAGCAAACAAACCAACAGAAAAATGCTGGGTCCAGCATTACCAGATATTCAGAACCTTCTAAAACTTGTCTAAAATATTGTTAATATTAGGAACCAAGAAATTCTAGAGACCCATAAAAGCATTCCAGAGGTAGATGCAGACAGTACTAAGTTCCAGAGTCTTCCCACAACGAAAACAACTTATTGAGTGCCCTGTTCTGCATCGCTAGATGAGAAACAGTGTACCCAGTACCAAGTGCGTCATCCGACCTGAAATATCAACACAAGTCCAAGGCAATTTTTCATGAAGGAGAAAGACCAAGAAACCATTAGCAGAAAGGTTCCAAACTCAAAAGGATGTGATTCAAATCGGCGAATAAAATGCACAAACTAGACCATATAAATTTAGGTATGTTAACAAATCTGCAACACCTTTATCCATTTGGCCTACAACTACAATAGTTGAAATCCATTTTGCAAGAAGTTCAAATGTATGTTGCATGCGGCAAACAAGGAATGATTAGTGTGAATCATTCGAGTTTTAAAAATCGAGTTTCAAAGAGAGTCAACTCTACAAATGGTGCAAATGTGGAGTTGCGCATAAACATGTCAAAAATAAATATTCTTTATCACTCACCATTGATACTCCTAATGGCAGAAGAAATGGAGGTCCTTTTCACGTTATTGGCAATAAATTGCCTGATCAATATGCGGAGGAATTTGCTTGATTTCAGTTCCAAGTTCTTGCTCAATCCTATATCTGTAAAAGAGAATGACAAAGAGTTTTAAATTTTGGGTGTGCTGCAGAGTCAGGTGTTCAAACTACAGAAAGCAGTAAAAACAATACAAGTTAAAGCGGTCCTCATAGGTGATCAGATTCACAGCCAAACCAAGATGTCCAAATCTTCCTGATCGACCAACCTGCACAGCAACCACATATCAAACATCAAATGACCATCAATAAGTATGACGGAATCAAGGACAACCAGAGTCTTAAGCTTACCCTGTGGAGATAAGTTTCCGAGTTCTTCGGGAAATCAAAGTTAATTACAACATTGACTGCTTGAATGTCAATCCCACGTGTAAATAGATCTGTAGCAACCATCAAATGATCGTCACAAACTACTAATTGAAACATTTATAAGAAAATACAAGGCCAAGACAGTCAAAATAAAGTTGGCCAAAGCACTGACTATATCTCAAGCTAAGGACCGAGATGATCCAAAAGGTTTGCATATATGCATTTCCTTCATCACGGATTTGCAAAAAAAAAAAACGACATAGAACTCAGCATACCAGTACACACAAGATTTCGGCATGCACCATTGCGGAAGTCATGAAAGACTCTGTTACGGTGGTCTTGGAGCATCTTCGCATGAATGTAAAAGCAAGAATAACCAAGTTCTGTGATTTTCTTAGCTAAGAGCTCCACACGGTTCACTGAGTTGCAGAAAATGATCGATTGATTTATTTGCAGCTGCGAAAGAAGTAGAGAGTGTGAGAGGCTGACAAAGAAGAACAAACAAATAAAGCTTTGTTTCAGATCTAACCTTGGAAAAAAGGGTATTCAAGCAGTGAACTTTCTGGCGTTCTTCAACAAAAGCATAGAATTGTGTAATACCCTTCAGTGTGAGTTCATCCATGAGATTAATGATGTAAGGCTTCCTTAGATATCTGTCCTTAAAGTCCTTAACATTGACTGGAAATGTGGCTGAATACATCAATATCTGACGATTTTCTGGAAGAAACCTAATCAACTGTTCCACCGAAGGTTGGAACTCTTGAGACAATAACTTGTCAGCCTGATATACAGATGCACACAAAATTAGAATCTAGAAAATACTACACTAGCAATAGAGACAGAAATTCAACTAAAGATAAGCATCACACATTTACCTCATCCATAACAAGCATTGAACAATTTTTTAATACACAAACACCCTTTTTGGCAAGATCTAGAATCCTCCCAGGAGTTCCCACCAAAAAATGGACAGGTTGATACAGACGCATAATATCATCTTTCAGACTGGTGCCACCAGTGGTCACCATGACTTGTATCTTCAAATGCTTACCCAGCTCCTTACAGACTTGCGATGTCTGAAGAGCCAACTCTCGTGTTGGAACAAGTATCACAACTGCATACAATTCGGGAACTGGTGACGACCCAAACTAGAAAGGAAAGACAACTACAAAGGGAATAGATTTCACACCACGTGACGAAATCAAGATCACTTTATCCAAGCAATAGTTACCTTGAATGACATTGTTATCTTGGTCAATTTTTTCCAAGGCTGGAATACAAAATGCAGCTGTCTTTCCAGTCCCATTTTTGGCTCTGGCAAGAATATCACTACCGGTTAAGGCAATTGGAATACTCTCTTCCTGAATGGGAGAAGGTCTTTCAAAACCCTTCTCATAAATACCCATGAGAAGTTCTCGCTTCAAAAAATAATCTTCAAACTCATTTCCTTTTGTGGCTGTCACATCCTGAAAACAAAAATGAACGAAGACTGTTTCAAAAGGAATGAAAATAATCAAAAGTGAGGCCACTTTAACAGATAGATAATGCATTTGCAGGTGGCAAGCAAAAAGAAACTTTACATATAAGATATGCGTCTCAACATTAGACTCAGAAACCAAACATTTCTTCCTTCAAAAAGATTAAGAGGATACACATCAATCGTGCAACCACAACAAAGTTTTATAAAAAGTTGTCATGTCAACAGGAGAACCACTGAATCATACCAGAGCCACACTTGAAATTGGATATCCAAAACAAGATTAAGGTATTCCCTCCTTACTCGAATAGATGCAAAGAAATGGCACACATCCATGCTCTCCCCAAACCAGTAAGCAAAATATAAAATTCAAACGTTACCTCTGTTCTGTAGCGAGTGTCAGGTGGGGGTAGTTTTAGCCTCGCCTTCCAGTCTTGTGAACTGACGAGAAAACATCAACAAAAGTTCAGAATCAATTTACAAGCTTCCAGCTGAAAAGATTGTCACGCGAGATAAAACAGATAGAATTTCCACAATAACAGTTTATTTCCATCGTAGCATTACATATAAATAATAATCATTTCGAAACACATCACAAGGGTCTCAAATCCTTGCTCTTAAATATGAACATCTTGTTTGCATAATATCGTAAAAAAGGAAAGAAAACTAGAGTATGCCCATATCCGGCCAGGGAAAAAAAAAGAACCTTTAAGACTTACACACATATATCCAAGAGTTAAACAAAAGTTTCGGAAACTCGAATAGTAGGAAAATGATGAAAACTCACTTTAAGTCAATAGCTTCGGATTGAACCGTCTTCTCGACCTCATCAACTGCGACACCGTTGTTGTTGCCGGAGCTGCCGCTGTTGTTGTTGCTTCCGGCGAACTGGGCTCTTCTAAGCCACTGCTGTTGCTGTTGCTGTTGCTGCTGTTGCGGCGCCTGGTGAAACTGTTGATGGTTCTGTGAGTAATTGCCACGCTGAACGTAATGCGGCGGCGGCGGCTGCGGCTGTTGCTGCTGATAAACCGGCCTCGAAAGGAAGCCAGGGTTGTTCGGGTTGACAGCTCCACGACCAGCACCAATCCCCGGGGGATACCTTCCTCTAGTATTCATCACGACCTTCTTCGAACTCTAAACGCTAACAAACAGACAAGTCAAAACACCCTACCTACGGAAGATCTGTACAACAAGAACAATACCGCAAACAGAATCTAGGGTTTCCTGCGATTCAACACAACATAAAAGCTTAGGAATATTGACAGAGAATATTTAGGGAGAAAAAAAAAACTCGCGATTAATTACAAAAACTCTCCACGAGGAATCTAGTGTTCGCAAAATCAAAAAATCTGTAAGAGAGAATCGCAGATCTGAGAGAGAAAAAGCTCGTAGACCAGACACATTTCGGGGATTGAGAGAAGCAGGGAAGAATGTTTGAAAGAGAGGAAAAATGTGGGGATGCACCGTCCTTAGGGCGTCGAATGGATTTTTTTTTTCCGTTTGCTGAAAATTATAAAACGGCCTCACTACTTCTTCTATATTGCGCATCTCGCCCTATATTTGTGTAAGTGAAAGAGACCCCACAAAATTATTAATATATATATTCACTATTATATATTATTCCTCCACCAAAAAAAACACGTGACGTAGGTTTGATTAAAAACTGGGATTTGACACTTTCAGATGGGTTATTAATGAGAAAATATGTAAATAAACTTGTCCATAATCCCACATTCGAATTTTGTGGTGGTTATATATATATGTGTGTGTGTGTGTGTCTTTCTATGTTAGAAATGTTTGAGGAAGGCACTGACATGCACACATACATCTTCCTTTGCTATATGCCACCTAATTTTGGCACCATTTCAATTTGAAATTTTTTTAAAAAAAGGTAGGAAATAGAAAGGAAAAAAAAAACTCTGTTTATAATCTCACACCCAACTCAGGATTTTGTATAAAGACAAGAGAAGAAGAAGCTAGCCTTGTCTGAGGCTAAAATCCTTTTTATTTCCTGTGGAAAAAAATCCACCGGTTCCCTTCTTCCAGGAATATGGGGACTTCAGCAAAAAGGTTCCAAACAGTTTTTTTCTTCATAATTTGCATTTTATGCTTACCCACATCTCGCATGTGTCTACGTACACTGCATACATTATGATCATTATCATACATGTCTCAACCCTTTAGAGGCTGTCAATACATATGAAAGGGAAAGGACAAGAGAAGATACACATTTCTAATATCCGTTGATATATTTATAATGTCCCGCATCGGTGGATTTATCTAATCAACGCGTACGAAAGATAGCAGATAGGGTTTTCCATTATAAAAAAATACAACAAAAATATATTTGATTGTATCTAACATTGGGTGTGACTCAACTGTTAGCGATGAAACAAATCTATTTTTCAACCTACCCAAGTTTGGGTGGCCTAGTGGTGAGAGAACATGCTTTGCATGTTCTCATCCTAGGTTCAAATCCAAACATGGGGAGGGATATTCACATGGGCTTCCCCGATCCTCTAGGTGATGTAGTCGGGTCAAAGATCCGTGAACTTCCGGATTATCAAAAAAAAAAATCTATTTTTCAACCTATGTTTGGGTTTCCACTTAGAAAAGGATATTTACTTATATTTTTCCGTTACTCTCGAATATATAATTGAGTTAAAGATTTAGAAAATTTTTGGATTATAAAAAAATATTTGATTGTATTATGTTGTGGTGATAGTTGACATTTTATAATATGAATATTAAAAAACGTGTCATTTTATCATATTTTCCCAAAAACTTTCTACTATTATTATTATTATTCGAGTAATGCACCCGGGAGTTCAGATCGAGTAACCACCAGGAATTTGCTGTGATGGCGAACGCCGTGCCGTTTCTCAATACAATCCACTCACTCAACCCGTCCTGCCCTGTATCCAGTTGTTATAGTATAGATGCGGACACCGTGCTGTTTCAATTTTCTCTATTAAGTCTTTTCAAAAATTACGGAGAAGCCCGGGCTCGTTACGCTTCCTTTTAGGCCCAAATATTGAGGCCGATAGTTTCGGTTTTTCTTTCGAATGTAAAGACGTAAATGCCCTCCATCTATCGGAGTTAATACCAACAAATACCACCCTTTCCAACACATTGTCGCCTTCTTCCTCTCTGCGATCCTCCGGATTCGTCTCAGGTAAGCCGATCTCTTGCCGCCGTACGCCGGCGTTTTCCTCTTTCGGTGGTTGATTCGGAGATTCTGTGCACGAATATTGGATGTGGTGTCTGCTTGCGTTATTGTAACTTGGGGTTGTCAGTGAGCTAGGGTTTACTTTGGCTGCTGCATTTTCTGTTACTGACCGATCTGGTTATCTCATTGCTGATTTAGGAAAAGGAAAGTGCGTTTACTGGATTGAATCGATCTTATCGAGGAACCATGGGAGGACATGGAGGAGAGGGCGCTCATGGCGATTTCAGGAGCAAAGTCTGGAGCATGCCCGGTGGGGCTTACTGTAGGCCGAAGCATTGGCGTCGTAACACTGCCATTGCTATGTTCGGCGTATTCCTCGTCTGCATCCCTATCGCCATGAAGTCTGCTGAGCTCGAGGTATAGTGCATTTTGTCGGGCTTTTATTTGCAAAAACTCTGGATTCAGAAACGGACAATAAGGTATCAATCTCTTGAGGGCGAACATCGCATTCATTGATTTTGAGGGCAATGCCTTTCATTTCGATCTTGTAAACAAATAGATTCGCTTCTTTACATTTGTAGTGTATTCGCCTGTTCCTTAGTCACTAGTGTCTGATCTGTACCTTTTATGAAGATCCATATGTGAAGGGTAGAAATGCTTTAATTTCCTGTAAAGTTCAATTTATAGTCTAGCATGTTTGAACATACCTTTTTCCCTCATTATCTCTTGAAAAAAATGTCTATAGGCTACCTAATGTTTAGTAGTTCAGATTAACTTGTAGTTGGATGGTATTTTCAAGCATTGGTTTAGGCCGTTGCTGTAACTTGTTTCTGAGTAGGAAGATATGGCTTACCACATGTCCATATGTTGTCAGACAGACTGTGTAACGGCCCATAGATACTCTATTGATTGTTTCTGTGGTCTGCCTGGTTTTTGTTCCTTGTGAAATGTCTTGGAGGAGAATCCTAACTAAACAGTGGACTCTTACAAACCAGTAACAAGAACACTTGGGCTTTTTGAAGAGCTACCATATAAGCTCCTCAACAATGGTGGTTCAGAAATGTTGAAAGCTTGCTGCTTTCGTCGTCAGTTCGTAAAAGTTCCAAGCTTGAGATGCCTGAGATTAAAATTTATGCTTGGATTGCTTGCATTGCATTGAGTAGTTTCTTGTTTGATGATCATATCACTGAGAAAAAAAGATTTGATATTCTTTTCCAGCAACGGCCACACATGCCAGTGCGCCCAATTCCTTCACAGCTCTGGTGCAAGAACTTTGGAACCAAGGATGACTACGAGAAGGAGCACTAATAAGCTTTCACTTTGTGTGGTGTGGTCTCTTGACTTGCAGACGATGTGAGCAAACCCTTCTAGATCTGCCTCTTTTTTTTCGTTTTTTGATACCGGAATATTCGCAATAATATGCAAAAACACATGGGGATATCTGCAGGTTAAGATATTTCTTATATCATCTTTGAGGCCCATTTGGGTTAATTCCCCTGTTATTTTTCTCATTACACGAAACTAAAATCAGTATGTTTGGGGCAGCGGAATTCATGCGGATTCGATTACTGACGACCCGATTTCAAAATGGTTTTCTTAAGATGCTGGTAGAGAGTAGTAGTATATGGTCCGTGTAGGGGTTAGCGATTTAGTCCGGTTCTCTGAAACCAAGTCGTACCGAACCAGAAAATACGATATTGTTCTCGAACCAAATCATATAAATTTTTTGAACGGTATTTATTTTACAAAACTGAATTTTCTAGAACCAAACTAATTTTTTAAAAAAATCCGAAAAATTGAAAATTTCCTAAAAAAATCAAATTGTTTTAATAAAAACCTAAAATAGATCGAAACTGAAATCAAATTGACTGAACCGAATATGATATAATAATTGATTGATATATATTTTTGTAGATCGAAAGAATAGAACTGAATTATTCTCTAATCGAATTTGAACCGAATATTGCAATGGTCACCGTGGATGACATATTAGAAAATGCATGTAGATATCTGAATCATGGACTGTCGAAAATAAAATAACCAAGCATTTGGAAAGAAATAATATATATATATATATATATATAT